CCGAATCCGCGGGCCTGCAAGTTTCGGAATCCGAGGGCCAGGAAGTTTCCAAATCCGCGAGCTTCGAAGTTTCCGAATCCGGGGGGCAGCAAGTTCCGAATCCGAGGGTCTCGGAGTTTCGGAATCCGTGGGCTTCAAAGTTTCCGAATCCGGGGGGCAGCAAGTTTCCGAATCCGAGGGCCTGGAAGTTTCCGAATCCGTGGGCTTCGAAGTTTCCGAATCCGGGGGGCAGGAAGTTTCCGAATCCGAGGGCCAGGGAGTTTCCGAATCCGTGGGCCTTGAAGTTTCCGAATCCGGGGGGCAGCGAGTTTCCGAATCCAAGGGCCAGGAAGTTTCCAAATCCGCGGGCTTCGAAGTTTCCGAAACCGCGGGGGGCAGCAAGTTTCCGAATCCGAGGGTCTGGAAGTTTCGGAATCCGTGGGCTTCAAAGTTTCCGAATCCGGGGGGCAGCAAGTTTCCGAATCCGAGGGCCTGGAAGTTTCCGAATCCGTGAGCTTCGAAGTTTCCGAATCCGGGGGGCTCGGAGTTTCCGAATCCGAGGGCCAGGAAGTTTCCGCATCCGGGGGGCAGCAAGTTTCCGAATCCGAGGGCCTGGAAGTTTCCGAATCCGTTGGCTTCGAAGTTTCCGAATCCGGGGGGCAGGAAGTTTCCGAATCCGAGGGCCAGGGAGTTTCCGAATCCGTGGGCTTCGAAGTTTCCGAATCCGAGGGCCTGGAAGTTTCCGAATCCGATGCTAAAGTTTCCGAATCCGGGGGGGAGGGAGTTTCCGAATCCGAGGGCCTGGGAGTTTCCGAATCCGACGCTGAAGTTTCCGAATCCGACGTTGGCCGTGAAAACATCCACCATCTGTAGATCATATGGATTCATATGGAGGATTGCTCTTGAGGCATATCCATCAGCAAACGGTTGTTGGAGACATTTCTGAGACGTCGAAAACTGTTTGCTATGCAACATGACCCATGCGAGGATAGGATATCCGTGTTTATAACCTGGTTATGTTCACTGTTCAATGGTCATGTTCAATGGCAAACTGTTGGATCACCAGAGGGTAACATGGATGATCAAGATTGACTTCTTCAGTTGAGACTAACATACACCCTTCTCGTTGATGTTGATCTTAGTTGGCGACGGTGAGTGATATCACTTGGGTTGATTTCAGACACGGTTTTGGCAGCCAAATCATGCGTTGTGAACCCGCATGGGTCACAGTTTTAAGACTCAGCAGAACCGCAGATTGCGGCAAATTCTAGCAGTGGAACATGAAACTTTTGGGGGTTGTCAGAAAATGTTGCAGAACAACTCCCAATTTTAGTGGATTCTTATCCATTTCCCATTCTTAAGCGTTGCCTTGAATCCTTGAGCTACTCCTCGCGATCCGAAAAAAGGGGATCACCTCGGCGTCTCAGGTTTGCACAGGCCTTGCGGCCTTTGGCTTGGTCTGGCGCCCAGGACAAAGCCCACCAGCTCAACATGGTAAGTTAGGGGAATCCTTCCCCAAAAAAACATGTTTTCCCCCTCAAAAAATGTGTTTTCTCTTCAGGAATGCTTCAAGTGTGAAAATACATGGACATGTTAAAAGAAATCGCCCCTCTAGGATGAAGAGATTCTTCGTGACAGGATCCTGCTAGCATCGGACATGCGAAAAAACCGCACTCTGGCACCTCAAAAACCAACCGGTAGGATGTTTCCAATACAGATCACCATATCCACTAGAATATGACTATAAATCATTACAAAACCATACATTTCATGGCTTTTTACAATCTAAAATCCATATATTTCATGGCTCCTGCAGTATCACTATTCTCCCAACGATCATATCAGCCACCGAGATATTTGAGCTGCCGGTTCTCTACATGAATCACCGTGAGTTCATTGCCAGGGAGACCAAGCTGGTGGGAAAATATGGGAATATGAGACAGCAAGAATTTGGGGATCCATAGTGGATATCTTATACAATTCTAGAAAAAGAACGGATAGATGTTCTGATATATATATAATTACAATATAATATATATATATATATATAATATTATATATTATATTGGATTGTAATAGATGGGCTACTTCTGAATTTGTTTTGCCCGCTTTTGACCAGTGCGTGTTGTTTCTTTCCATATTTGTTCTGGAATGTTGTTTTGTAGTAGACTGCTGGATAATGGGAATGTCCTCTTACCACCTCTTTGATAAGATGATCCTCTGAATTTGAGCAGTATTCAAAAAACTCCTGGTTGGCGATTGCTTCCGGGGATAATACCCTCTGGTTATGTCAAAATAGCTATTGAAAATGACCATTCATAGTGGATTTTCCCATTAAAAATGGTGATTTTCAATAGCTATGTTAAATTACCAGGGGGTAATATGACTATCCAATACCAATTGGGGGTGAACCAATCATCAATGAACAGGGAATCCCATTCTGAACCAATCTGGAAATTATCAAACTTGTCAAGTTGTGCAGTGTTTGGTTGATAAGTGAGTTGGCGGCTCGTTTGGTTGACGGACGTGCGTAAGATGTTTGTATTGGTTGCACTGCGCGACTGTGTTGAAAGTCCAAAGGGTGTAGAGTCAAATGGTTTTTTGATGTAGGTATAATTGTGATACATATTTACTTGTTTAAACTAATTCAACAATGTTAAACCATTCTGCTTTGACAATGGGTTTGTCTTCTTTTTAGGTGGTAAACTAACATAGCTATGGAAAATCTATTCAATGTTTCCATGATACTGGATCTCTATTTACGCGGTTTGGTACGGTAAATCTATTAGATGTTTCCATGATTCACTGGATCTCTACACACAGCTATTGTGGTGTCATGGTGCGAGCCCTTTCCCTTGTTCAGGTCTATGCGGAGCAACCAGTGGAGTGGTTCCAAGACATCAGGCGCGCCTGGCAGCTGATAGTTATATTAATGGAATATCCATGAAGATCCCCTATGATATATGGGATTATATGGCATATCTATATATATATATATGTGTATGGATATAATACAATATAATATAATATGATATAATATAATATAACATTTTCACTGAAGAAACGAGTTGTGTTTTCATGGCGATGGTTGTGGGAATTCATGGGGTAGAAAAATGGGAAGGTCTTCGGGGATTTACTGGGAGGTCGATGTGGGGATGTTTCAGCGTCGCAATCTCGGTCATGCTGTGGTAAACTTGTTTACTCAGGGGTTGAACAGGGAGCTACACCTGGTACTTGTACTGCATACAGCATGGTTAGCAGGATTTCGATCCACGACCATGTGGCAATCGTAGGTCTCGTTTGATAGATAACTGTTTCACTGAGGGACAAGCAACTGTTTCTTGGATCAGTGCCATCTATGACTTTCAGATGGCAACCTTTCATTATGTTTCAATGTTCTGCGCCTCAGTGTGTACGATGCTATCACGACGCAAAGTGTATTCAAGTAGGGGAGCTAAACTTTATATTTCCGATATTTTTTGGAAGGGGACATCTGCAGGAAGCCCTTTTTGTCACAGTATTTCCAGTAGATTGTCCTTAAACCAAACCATTATTACCATTATAATATACCATTGAATGAATTTCAATATCATAATATCATGGCTTGCAGGCAAGTGGAACTTTTCTGGAGCACACTGATTCTTTGGTGGCGACTCGCGCGTGGGGTGTTGGGATGCCCAAAGCAGACACATCCAATTTTCACCATAGAAGTCCAGCTTTTGTTTCTGAATAGCCCCAACTTGATCTTTGCATGTTTACCTACTTTACTTGTGTTGTTTCACTTTGATCATGAGTTTGTTCGTCAGGATGCAATCTGGTTACACCCAGTTTTTGTTCGACCCCGTGGGGGCAGCGAAAAACGTCAATCAAAACGTCAATCTCTCCGCCGGAAAACGAGGCCCATGATGGTGTACATCTACTCCCTGATCTTTTGGTCAGAGGATCTGGCGAGGCTTTCCAACAAGGACGCTTGTTTTCTGTCGAATTTGTCGAATCATTGCCCGAAATTGGAGCTTTAGCCACTAAGAAAATAGAGCAATATGTATATATCAATATGATAATATGTATATATATGTATATGTAATATATCAATTAATTATCATATTTATCAATATGATAATATGTATATCGGTCAAAGCTTGGGCAACTCTCCAGTCCTTCTGGATGGTCATCAATCTAATGACACTAGGGACATCTAGGGACTTAGCATGACCCATGACATCCGATGTTGGGATTCCCATGGCGTCATACCACATTCCCATGAAACCATCCAGCCATTGGGGTACCATGACTATAGAGATCCCAATGGCTGGTGAAATGCATCCAGCATCATCCAGCTGTGACCAGTGGCCCAGCCTGCCCAGCTATGAAACTCCAGGAGGCATGGACTTACCATGGCATGGCCATTTTTTTCTCAGCGACACGGCAGCAGTTTTTACAGCAGCAGTTCTAACGTGATTTAAGGAGTCCAGGGAAAATGCCGAAACACACATGGCCGAAAGGCCAGATGAAAACTGTTTAAAACCCAATATGGGAGAGAGAAATATAGTGAACTATATTTTTTTAAAAAAATAGGACAGTTCAATCAGCTTTGTTCAGCAACAGGTCCTGCTGTACTCAGGTCTTAAATTGGGCTCTAGCCTCAACTTACCTGGGTGCTTGGCAGAAGAAGGACCTGTTAAACTTGTCGATCCATGTCGATCCCTTGGCGTCGATCCGGAGAGTTTTCAGTTAGTAGGAGCCCATGGCGTCCTTATGGAAATCCAGGTCGACAAAAATCCATGATCAAAGTGATCAAAGTGATCAAAGTGATCAAAGCAACTGGTGAATCTCCTATTAAGAATAAAGCTCCAGTTTCCTATCATTGTTCTTTTTGTATCTTCTTGGATGAAGAATAATAGTTTTTGTTTTCCAAGGAACAATGATATGTTTTCTAAACTGTATTCTTCATGTCCAAGTGTTTTAGAAAAAAGTTATCAGTGAGAGTTCTTAGATGTCCGAAGTTTTTTCTTTTTGTTGAGATGGTGCCGTTTTTGGTTCGCCGCAGGATTTGGAAGTGGCTAGCAGCCTGGACCCCTGGGGAGCGCTTGGAACAGCAAGGGGGATATACTGGTACAACGGGGGAATGATAATTAATCCCCCATAAAATAGTATAATTCCCCCATAATGGGCATATATACCATTGTAGAGTATTATTCCCCCGAAATGGCATTCTCCCATAATTTAATATTATACAATGGGCATATTAATCTGATAAAATAGTATAATTCATAATTAATCTGGTATAAACATGGCATCATAATAAGGTACAATATGGATCAATATGCTATAATAGGATATACTGTAAAACCAAAGTTTTTTGGCTGTGGTACCTGAAAATTGGGGTATAAGCCACCAGCTTGTGGCCATTTTTAAAGGGATGTGGGTGAACCATGGTGAACCCACCAACCAGCTTTGGACAATCCCAACCAGTTTGTGTGTTATAGAAAACCATGGTTGTGTCATTTGCATCCATTTTTCTTGGTGTTTTTTCCCTGTATCATTTTATGTTTAAAGTTGGTGAGACACCAATCCGTTGCCTCATTGTCCCACCATCAAGGACATTCAACGACCGAGGTGCTGCCGCCACAGAGTTTGAAGAGAAGTTCAGGGAACTGCTGAAGCCGGATGATGAGGCTGCACCACATTGCTGCTGTCGGAAGAATTCGGTGAGAAGCCATCGAAATTGAATGGACATTTGATAGTTTTGGTCTCACCATGATTGCATCTGTTTCATAAAAAGTTGAAAGAAACGTAGCAAAACGAAAAGTGGATACTGTATGGCCGAAAATGTCGCCAGAAAGAATTGGGGACGTTGTTTCGGATGGTGAGTTGAAACCAGCTTAGAGCCATGGAGTGCACGGAGATTTCTTTACGAGTGGAATTCCTCAATTCCATATATTCCCAATATATCATTATCGGGACTATAAGATATATCTATCAATTAAAATCAATCATATATATATATATTCCCATATATTCATATATTCATCTTCTCCCCGGGACTTTGCATCGAGAGAGAACCATGCAATGACCAAACAAAAAACACCAAGGATATGAGGAATGTGATGTTTTTTCCTCGTGTGTTTCGTAGGTTGGCATATCTATCCAGAATATATTCCCATTATGTCCCCATTATGTTCCATGATATCCCCGTTGACCTTTGTTCCCATGATTTCCCCATTATACCACCATTTATATACTGTATATCATGGAGATAAATGATATATCCACCATATATAGTTAATCCAGTATAAATATATGATATATGGTGGATATATATATATGGATTGGGTTACCATCAGTTATACAGTTGATTTTCCCAGTGAACTCAACCTCCATGGCGAGTTGGGGCATCGCCAGTAGGTGCAACTGGCCGAGAAGGAGAAGAAGGCGCCGCGAAGCAGTTACGACGTTTCCTGGATTTTTGTTGGATCTCTGACCTGTAATATGCTCCATGCTGGAAGATGTACCCAAATGTATCCAAATGACCCAAAATGAATCAAATATATCCAAATGACCCAAAGCGAATCAAATGTACTGTATCCAAATGTATCCAATGTATCCAAATGTTGGTAAATATTCCAGCACCATGGAGCATATGGGTAGTAGTTTTGCTGTGGTTGCCGGTTCATCTCAGGTCTTTTCGTTCAATCTGCAGAAAAAATCTGCAGAAAAATCTGCTGCCCAGGCGGAGGAAAGCAGCATCGCTCAGGACATCCCTGAAGTGGTGAAAAAACCATTGATGCAGGTGGAATTCGCTGGATGAATCGGCATTTCTATGGCTACACCAGGAAATATGATGAAAGAACAGGGAAAATTACCCTCTGGTTATGTCAAAATAGCTATTGAAAATGACCATTTATAGTGGATTTTCCCATTAAAAATGGTGATTTTCAATAGCTATGTTAAATTACCAGAGGGTAGACCGAAATTGATGGAAATTGTATGTTTGTCATTTCTGGGACACCCCTCTAAGGTTTCCATGCAGAAACAACCAAGTTCAGAAGTGTTGGGATTTCCATTTGGTTGAAATTGGTGTCTTCCGAAAGTGGAACGGCTTTGTTGCTCTGGATTGTTGGGTTCCAAATGATATCCAGCCCACACAAAAATGGGTTGGATGCGCTAGGATGCTATTTTTTTTTCGTCGATGGATTATGGTTTTCCTTGGTTTTCCCAAGTTTGTGACCTGCAAAATGAATTTTGAACCAGTCAACATCATTATCATTGTTCAACGGAATTGTATGGAATTGTCGTATCATTTGAGTGATACTTGGTGCTGATGGCGCATTTCAGTGGTGATTGACAGCCCCTGTCTGATGCTGCAGGTTCCTCCGGAGATGTTTGCCAAGGCGTGGATCGGTCTGGTTTCGATGTTTTTTGCAACCCCTCCGGTATCAGCAAAGATGGAATGTTGGGATGTTGGGGAAATCCCATAGATTTACCATAGATTTACCATAGATTTATCATAGATTTACCATAGATTTACCATAGATTTACCATAGATTTACCATAGATTTATAGAGGTTTAATCCCCTATAAATATAGGTTTTATAGATGGTTAAACAGTGGAAAAAGTCATCGAACTTGCTGGAAAACTTCCAGGATGTCGGGATTTGACCAGCAAACATTGAGAACAACAACGCAGATTTCATCGATATGAAACGGGTATGGACTCATGGACCAAACGTTTTACCCTCTGGTAATTTAACATAGCTATCGAAAATGACCATTTATAGTGGATTTTCCCATTGAAAATGGTGATGTTCCATAGTTATGTTAGTTTACCAGAGGGTAGGCCCCTGAACAACAGAGTGACTGGTTCTTGTACTCGGCGTTCATAAAACACTTTGTGCCCGACTTCAACTCACTCACCTTTAGAATGTCAATGAACTACCAAAAATGCGCACTTTTTTCGAGAGAACCAAAACTGCTTGATGGTTTCAGCTCCGTTTTGAACGTTGAACACTTTATTTCGGATGAGTCTCCTGACTGGTACCCATATTTTGGCACTGGTTCAAATCATTACCCTCTGGTAATTTAACATAGCTATTGAACATGGCCCACTGAAATAGTTGATTGACCGACTAAAGATGGTGATTTTCCAGTTCGCTATGTTAGTTTGCCAGAGGGTATAATTTTTAAGCGTCAACCACAAGACTTGCGAAACTTGATTCATATTGATTCCAGAGCCGTCCATTCAACATCCTGGGCACCATTTGATTCTAAGATTATACCAGTTGATTCTAAATTATGGATAATTATGCTTCATAAACCCATAAACCAAGACTGTGTACTATTTTTGCTTGTAGAAACTACAAAAAATAATAGCGTATATTTATTATGTATCCACAACTCGTCTCCCCATGAAGCCATAAGAATCATAAGATTCTGAGCTCATAAACATTCATAAAGCATTTATTGTCAACCCTGGATCAATAAACCCTTTGGCTGGTTGATTGGAGTAGTACCACCCTAATTAATAAACCATGGTTTATTAATCCGGGGTTGACATTATTGTATATCTCTCATATCTGGTCCATAGATTTCAGGATAGGATTTCAGGTCCCAGGCCTTGTGGAAAAGTACGCCGGAACTTCACCCTTTGCTGGAAAATGACCTATTTACTTGGATGATAATTATCGCATATTATATATATATATTATGTATATCTGGTCCCAGCGTTGGCACCCCCCCTCCCCGCCACCCCACGCAATGGGTGTGGTGGACAGTATCCGTCCTGGTTCTTCTCTTGCTCCCTTCTGCCGCCCCCCCCCCCTGTGGCCGTGGGGTGGGGTATGGTTCTTCTGGCCCCCCCCCCCCTGTGGCCCTGTGTTGTGTGGTATTGTTCTTCTGTCCCCGCCCCCGTGGCCTGTGGTGTGGTATGGTTCTTCACTGGTCCCCCCCCTCCCCCTGTGGCCTGTGGTGTGGTATGTTGGTATGTTGGTAGGGGGGGGGGGGGGGGGGGGGGGGGGGGGGGGGGGGGGGGGGGGGGGGGGGGGGGGGTGTGGGGGGGGGGGGGGGGGGGGGGGGGGGGGGGGGGGGGGGGGGGGGGGGGGGGGGGGGGGGGGGGGGGGGGGGGGGGGGGGGGGGGGGGGAGGGGGGGGGGGGGGGCGGGGGGGGGGGGGGGGGTTTGTAGTATGTATTTGATTATTTATGTAATGTAATGTATGTATGTATGTATGTATGTATGTATGTATGTATGTATGTATGTATGTATGTATGTATGTATGTATGTATGTATGTATGTATGTATGTATGTATGTATGTATGTATGTATTAGTATGTATTAGTATGTATTAGTATGTATTAGTATGTATTAGTATGTATTAGTATGTATTAGTATGTATTAGTATGTATTAGTATGTATTAGTATGTATTAGTATGTATTAGTATGTATTAGTATGTATTAGTATGTATGTATGTATGTATTAGTATGTATGTATGTATGTATTAGTATGTATGTATGTATGTATGTATGTATGTATGTATGTATGTATGTATGTATGTATGTATGTATGTATGTATGTATGTATGTATGTATGTATGTATGTATGTATGTATGTATGTATGTATGTATGTATGTATGTATGTATGTATGTATGTACTTATGTACTGTATGTATGTATGTATGTATGTATGTATGTATGTATGTATGTATGTATGTATGTATGTATGTATGTATGTATGTATGTATGTATGTATGTATGTATGTATGTATGTTGTATGTATGTTGTATGTATGTATGTATGTATGTATGTATGTATGTATGTATGTATGTATGTATGTATGTATGTATGTATGTATGTATGTATGTATGTATGGAATGTAAGGTAAGGTAATGTAAGGTAAGGTAAGGTAATGTAAGGTAAGGTAATGTAATGGTATGTATGTATGTATGTACGTAGGTATGTAGGTATGTAGGTATGTAGGTATGTAGGTATGTAGGTATGTAGGTATGTAGGTATGTAGGTATGTAGGTATGTATGTATGTATGTATGTATGTATGTATGGAATGTAAGGTAAGGTAAGGTAAGGTAAGGTAAGGTAATGTAATGGTATGTATGTATGTACGTAGGTATGTAGGTAGGTATGTATGTATGTATGTATGTATATACACCACCACAGGGGCATCATACCCCCCCCCATCCCATGGGGGGGGGGGTGGGAACACGGGACACGGGACCATATATATATATACATAAGATTATAATCTATATATATATGATATAATTTATATGTCTATATATCATATATATATATTATAAATATATGAGATACATAGTTTCCTATGTTAAAAAGTTGGGATGTTCCATGGTTTCCAGCAAACAGTGTGTAGCATAAAATGGGCAGCCCATGGATTATCCACTGGAGACCCTGAGCCAGGCTCAGGGAGAAGAGGGTCAACTGTGGCTGGAGGCGATTCACGCTGGGATGATGGATATACCAAGTGGTTTTTTTTTTGTGTTTTCTGTTGGTCAATGGGAAATCCATGGGAAATCCATGGGAAATCCATGGAAAAACGATGATTACTGGTTGGTGGTTTGGAACATGAATTTTATTTTTCCATATATTGGGAATAATCATCCCAACTGACTAATATTTTTCAGAGGGATTGAAACCACCAACCAGTTTGTGTTTTCTGTTGGTGAGCGTTTTTTTTTAACCGTGCACAACTTTGAAATCGTGAAAACATATGAACAAAAGTAGAGAGGTAATCGGCTGAGGAGAAATGAATTCAGAATGTGTGAAACATCTTTGAAATTCTCAACGCTTTTCACATAGCCAGCACCCGCCTTCGCGTAGTCATTCTGTATGAAGTTGAGGGGAACGGAAAGAAAGTATATATTTAATGCAGCAGAACCAGGAACCATTGTCTCAGCAAATAAAATATCAAAAAAAGTGAAGGTGAGCGAATTATATTTTAGCTAGTGAACTGTTTAAGGAACAAACAAGCCAATCAACCTATAACATTCACCCTGACCTGAGTCAGGATTTGCATTCGGTGACGAAATTCGGTGACGAAATTCGATGATGAAAATTAAGTGACGAAAATCCGCGACAAACATTCAGTGAGATCTTCGATTGCTGGGCACGTATGTATACTTAATATTATATACAGTACTATATCATGTAATATATTGTGTATATATATACACACTATATGATACAGATGTTATATATATATATAAATATATATGTATATTATATTATATATTATATAATATTATTATATATTATTATTATATTATATATATTATATATTATAGTATATTATTTGATATATGTCTTATGTATCAGTCTTTCTGCTCGACCCTACTTTAGCAATGGTTTTAAAGATTCAATACTGAGTTTACAACCAAGAGAGTTGGAATTCATAGGTTCGGTGAGAACAACCAAGTCACCCGTTGGTCACACTACAACAAGTACAAAGTGTTGGTGATTCTATCGTCCCCCGTTGATCGGAGGAGTCCGCTACCATATATATATATACATATACATAAATTATATTTCTTTTCTGACTGTGAATTCAACAAAGCTCTAAGTTTGTAACCCTGTTGCTGATACAATGAGGAACCATGTGTTCGAAATGCCAAAAACTTGGACATACTTGGGCCATTCCACAGATCCGTTGGTCATCCCTTCCGGTTGATCCATCTTGATCTATGGGAACTGCTGTCAATGTCTTCATATGTTTTCATTGGCCACATGGTGAACATCAAATGGACCCGGGTTTGGAATCCCATATTTTTTTGTGGTTTAGCAGCCCATTAAACAGAACCAGTATTAGGAAGCCATGTCAAAGCTATTAAAGCTAATGATTCATTACCTCATTGGAATCCCATCCCAGTTATATGAAACATCCCCCAGAAACCATGGTGACATGTAGGGGGTTGGAAAAACATATTTGGGACCATACAATGGGGTGTTTAATATGGATGGGGGAATGGGATTTGTTTTAATCATTTACATTCATTTACTGTACAAAACCTAGCTATAGATTATATCTATCCCACAAAGCCTTATATATATATACGTGTATATATCATATCCATAAAGCCCACAGATATATCTACCATAAACCAATGGCTATAACTGTAAACAAAAACGGTGAGTATGCCCAACGTGCCTCAGATAGACAACGTGGCCTACGACCTCACCGAGTTTCTAGGCTGGCTGGTGGTGTTGTTTTCCACATCGAAGTCTTAGTTTAGAGTAGGGTTGTTTTCCACATCGAAGTCTTAGTTTAGAGATGTCCCAATATTCGGTTTTGAGATCATTATACAGTGTATATATATACATATTTTTTAGGGACTCCGCTTGATCTTCAACATGCTTGGCTCGATCAGCTACCTGGAGCCCTCAGAAGCGAACTGAGTTGTCATGTGCAACTAGATAGCATTGCGCTACGAACTGTGAACTTCTCAAAACGGCAAGTTCCATGATGTTCCAGCTGTAGATCTGTAGCAAGTTCTTGGATTTTTTAAGATTGCGAAAAACTGATCTCAACTGACATTCCACATTCAACCATCTTTACCAACATAGGGTATCATTTCTGTCGCACCCACTGGTTCCACGTTCGTTGCGAGGCAAACACCCTGGAGGTGATTCCATCCTGCGAAAATTTGCGGGGAAAGATGCCTCCAAGGCACGGCAAACAGCACGGATTTGTTGGGTGGAAATGGGTCTGGAAATGTGGTATACCTGGTACCCTCTGGTAATTTAACATAGCTATTGAAAATGTTGATTTATAGTGGATTTAGCCATCAAAAATAGTGATTTTCCATAGTTATGTTAGTTTACCAGAGGGTATACCTCCAATTGTAGCCATAGCTGATGATTAACCATTTGGGGAGGTACCCGATTTTCAAACAAAGCCATTTGTTTAGAGATACCTATAGGTACCTTTTGGATCCTTTTGGCTATCAGAATCATTATAGTCGATAAGACCAAACATGTCACTTCATGGGTTCCTCTATGAACATGGCTTTTTCATGCCTTTTTCAGGGGGTTGCCATTTACTGGACCACCAAAAGGTGAAGGACGAAACAACAAGCCAACTGCACATATTTGGATATAGTTTCATCGCAGTGTTCGTGAATAAAGTCAAGGAAGATTCAGGCTCACTTTGGACACATGGTCAAAATTGTTTGTCTCACAAAATAATCCTGCCTAGTCTTGGTTTCGTCCTTCAGTGCCAAGTGTTTCCCCAGAATGTTTCAATAGTGGGCCAGCCGTTTCGGCACTGAGTTTTTCATCCGCGGCAGGCCTTTCACAAAGCAAAACATTCGATGCAAGCGAAGATGCAGATGCAGATGTATTGTTTGGGTCCCATGATGAAGGAGTCGAGTCAGCTGACTATAGCTGACTGGTGGGGAAACCCCAGAATGTTTCAATAGTGTTGGCATGTGTTGGCGAGTTGCACCAATATAAGAACACATCCAACCAACATATCCAAACATTGTATTTATCGTAATCAACAAATTTCTTCGCAGGACACATGTTCACTTCAATGTATATTGGGGATGATGATACTCCAATGATTGTTTTGGGATAGGTTCAAACCACCACTGGTCAATTAATGTCAATTATGTGTGTTGCAT